TAATCAATAATCAATAGCAAACAAACACTACTATTAAGCCTATGGTTGGACCCAAATTATAAAAAAAGGAAGGGGAATGATATACTGTATAATGTCACTGCTTTAATACATTAAAGGTAAATAAACAACATATTTAAAACATTCATTTGAAAATTTGGCTCAGGATATTTTACAAACAGTGAATAGGCACTAGAAAGCTAAGAACATAGAAGTAGAAATTCTTCGTGCTTTATCCCAAAAAAGGTATATAAACAAATCCTAGAGAAAAATATATATAAATCGAACTTCAATGATAAAAATAGTTAAATATTCAGTTTGTAAGAGAAGCAATCTTACCTAGATAGGATAAGGTGGAACGAAGGTCTTAGTCGAGGTCATGGAATCATGGGCGATGGAGATAGAGCAACAATGCGATGTATTTTGCAAAGCGTGAAATGCTGGCGGAGGAGCTGTGAAAACCTATAGAGGAGCGACAGAGCAGGGAACCTACATCGATGCAGCGGAGCAGCGAAAACCTTTTAGGGCAGCAAAAAGAATACAGGTAGCTTTCGATATATACTTGTATACACACTTTACATTAGAATCCACTAAATGTAACACTCATTGAATAGATGTAACAGATTGTTAAATAGGATACGAGCGTTACTGTAGCACTCTAGTAAACGTAACACTTTTAACATATGTGTAACAAGACGTTGAAAAGTATTACATTAGACTCGTTTTTTGTAATACTTTAGACAATTGTTACAATTTTTTTGTTACATTAGCCCTTAAAATGTAGTAGTGAATACTCATTTTGAAAATATGACGAGATTTTTCCAAAATAGGAGTAAAAGCATAGTGTTTTCCCTAAATAGGAGGAGTATGTTTTTTCACTAAATAAAAATAAAGTACTACCATAGTACCATCTAGAAATCATACTTTCATATTACGGCATTGCCAGCCATTAAAAAGAGGGCAGTAGGGGTGGGCGTGGTCCGGAATGGTCCGGTAAATTGGTAAAACCCGTAATGTATCATTGAGATTTTTAACGGTTTGGTACAGTCCGGTTCCAAGGATAGAACCGTTCGGTACCATATTGTTTCGGAACGGTACAAAACGGTACGATACAATGCCAAACACATGCTAAATTTTTTGATCAAATCTTGCAATTAGTAGATATCATCACACCAATCAACTCACATGAAATTTTGAAATAAATACAAGAAATTGCATACCTAGTACTAAAATTCACAAATAGTGCAACACAACTAAAAAAAAGTATAGCAAAACGATGACGCACGAGATAGATATCATTTTTAATTTACTAAGGTCATGTGAAAATATAAAAACGAATATCATCAAATTGTTGAATATAATAGAAATTTTCAACGTTCTTCATCTTCGTTCTAGGTTAAATATTACTCCGTAGTTCTAATTTAATTTATAGTTGAACCTTGAGAGCTAAGATTTAAACCATATTAATTAAGTTGTAAAAAATGCACAAACATGATACAACAAAAGTCATGTACACTACATTACTAGAAATAAATAACCATTATTGATTTCTAAAATTTTAATATTCTTTCAATACATACCAAAATATAACATATATTTATCTAAAAAGAAAAACTAACAATATATATAAACACATTTTAGATATCTTAGGGACACATGAATACATACTTGGGGTATAAAATTGTTGGTCTAGATCTATTGATATAGAAAAAATATTAAAAATTCAAATGCATTATTTATGAACGGTTCGGTCCGGTATTTTTCAGTTCTCAAAATCTAGGACCGATCCCGTACCCGTTTCAAACGGTACAGTTTCGGTACGGGATAAAAATCTATAGAACCGTTTAAATACCCGGTATTCGGTTCGGTACCATTATGGGACGGTTCGGTATCGGTTCGGTTCGGGTTTTATGCCCACCCCTAGAGGGCAGCATGATCTCTTTATGTGAATATGAATCCAGGATGCCTACTTACTCCTTTAGACAAAAAACATAGTACCTCTATTAGGAAAAATATCTCAATTTTACTCCTATAGTCCTATAGAACGCCGTCCGCCGTCCACTAGAACGCCGTCCGCCGTTCGCTGGAACGTCGTCCGCCGTCCGCTTGAACGCCAGCCGCTCGAAGTCTGTCGAAAGCTCTCGAACTCGCTGAACTACTCTTCCGTCTTCTTTCATTCGCACAGATCTCTCTGTCTTCTTTCGTTCGCACAGAACTCGCTCGATCTAAGCGGCTAAAATCAGGCGCTAGGATTTTTTTAACTAATCCAGATCGGGTACCACCGATCTGGAATAAGAACTGATTCTTTTTTTTCTTCCGCATCGGTTTTAACCGATCTAAAATAAAGTTTCATTAATTCTGAAAATTACCCCGTTTTTCTTTTCACATCGGTTCCAAATATAACCGATTTAGAATATTTCGTAAAATTTTAAAAAGTACCCCGATTTGCTATTTAACATGGGTTATAACAACAACTCATCTAAAAAAGTTTATAAAAATTATAAAAATGACCCCGTGTTAGTATTTTACACGGGTTTTAAAATAACAAATGTAGATAAGGTGATGTAAAAAGGCTTTTTTGTACTAGTGTTGGCCGATCGATCAAACGAGGTCCTGCTACCGGTATCGATAATAGCCTGAAGTAAATTTCAAGAACTACGAAATTAAATTTGGGTAATATATATTCATTCTAGAGGCCAATATTAATTGGAAGAATAACGGAAGAAATATAACTATTTAAAGAACCACCACCACCACCACTATTACTATTATTATTATTATTAATATTATATATTATTATTATTGTTGTTGTTGTTATTATTATTATTATTATTAGTATTAGTATCTCTATAATAAATTAATAATACAGTGCGGAGTATATCAAAAGTTGAAGGATTTAGCTAGCCGGCAACCTATTTAAAGACTTTTTCAAGTCCCACAGTTTGGAGCACTTCAATTAGTGTGCATATTTAATTTCCAATGTAGAATTTGATCCCTCTAGCTTTACTTTTGGATTTTGTTTGTGCTGTACGTACGTATTATTTTTGGTTTCAGGAAACTGTGCGTTGTTTACCCAGAGGGAGAGTTGACGGAAAAAGATGATGATAATGAAGAGCATATCTCCCTCTACTTGCAAATTGTTGATACTGATGAGTTTCCGGCAGGATGGGAGGTGCACGCTAAGTTTAGCCTCTTTGTTTATGATCATGTCCATGATAAATACTTGACTATCCAAGGTATTTATATTAGAAATTGCTCTGACTAAAAAATATAGAAAGTTTAAATAAGTTGATTAAAAATTTTAAAATATGATGCATCGAATCCTATTTTGAAAATAAAACAGCGATAGGACTAATGAGAGAGTTTATTCCCATTTTTTTTATGTTAGTCCCATTTTTTTATGTTAGTCCCAGTTTTGAACTTCTTGAACATCATGCATATTTCAAAAATAAAACATACTTCCTCTCTTCTTTTGTAATTACAATAGTCCACTTTTCATGTTATCCGACGCACAAATTTGACCATTACTATCTTTCATTTCTTATCAGAATAAAAAATAAAAAATTCATATTTTGAAAATTTAAAATGAGAAGAATTTAACAATATTTTTCAATAATTTTTAATTTATAATACATTAATAAATAAAATGTAGTTAAAGTAGAATATGTGAATAGAGTAAATTCATCAATGTTGCAACTAAAAGAGAACAGAGGTAGTACTTAGTCCGATTTTTGTACTTCGTGTATGCTTTAATCACATGTTAAGCACTATATACAAAATACTTATTTCTATATTTGAACTTTAATTTGTGTGTCAATACAAAAAAAAATACAGGATTGTCCATGATTTTTTACTTCGAAAAAATTTATAGAGGATTTGGCAGTGACATGTCAAATTCGTGTCAAAAGCATTTAGACAAATGCTATTTGACACAAAATCATCTCTAAATCTATCCCAAATTGGTATAGTTTTTGTAGTATGTTTTTAGTTCTATATCGGGCAATATCAAGAAAAACACGTTGCCTCCTACTCACGTATACATGAAACGCTCTTTATTTTGCCAAAACACATCAATAATATACTTCGTACTTAATTAAGAAGTTTTCATCCTTTCAAATCTTAAGGCTACCCGCAACCCTTCTCCGTCAATAAATCTCATTTCTCCCCACTTTATACGTATTCATCCAGTCAATTTATTTTTCTCTGCAATCCAACCCCCTCAATATATTCACTCTTCAATATTTTTTTCTTAATTAAAACCTTTTGTTTTATTATTATACATTAATTCTTTGTTTATGTTTTTTGTGAATAGTTATCATTTTAAAAGTCATACATTCCGATGTAGAAATAAATAAATTTGGAGTTTAATTTTTTTGTCACTAATTTAGAACTAGTTTTGAAATAAATAATTGAAAGATATTAAAAGTATTATTCCCATCATGAGATTTTAGTTTTAGCATTTAGATCAACTTTACAAAAATTTTAAACCTAAAGTCTCTAGCTGATAAAACTTATTATTATTTACAACTCTACATATGCTATACTGGAATTATAAAAAAAATAATTATAAAAAAAAATAAAATAGTTTTGTCGGATTAGGGTAATCCGACTACATTTGGAATTTTTTTTTTAAAGCCTTCCTCTAATTGAAAGATGTGAATCCGACTCCGGCAATTTACCCTAGATGTTAACCTTTCCCGTATTTTGGGGAAATCACGGAGTGTGCATATTTAATTGAGTTTTTTTTGTCTTAAATAGGACTAAATAAAGGGTTAAATTCCAAAATAGGAGTAGGTATAATTTTTATTCCCAGATAGGACCATTGTTACCATTTTACCCCTCCTACCTACGGCCTATTCTAATCGTGCGGCACCCGTCTTCTTCCCCCATCTTCCGCACAGCGAGCCATCCACACCAGAGAGCCTTCTCTCTTCTTCATATCCAGCAAAAAGCTGGACGACGATGGTGATTGATGACGATCCAAGGTGAGCAATAGCGAGCGGCGGTGATGAGCGGCGATTATGAGCGGCGATGACTGGCGAAAGAGTAATGATGAGTAGCGACTTTATTTCTAATCCGGTGGTGAGATTCATGCTCGTTATTCTCTCCTGTGTCTTCCCTCTTCTTCTTTGTTCATTCCTCGATTATTAGTCTTTTATTTCTCTCTTTCTTCTTCCTTTGTTTCATTTATTTCTTTTTGTTTGTTCAAAATGCCAAGTTAGATCTAAAAATGCCATCAAAATGGCATTCGTACTTTTTCAAAATTTTGTATTTTCCATTGAAAATGCCATTAAGATGGCATTCCCAATCCATGTTTGGCATTCTAACTAAAATGTTGACATCAACGACGGTGAAGGCTGGATCTGCATCGGCTGAGGCCGGATTTGCGGAGGCAGCGGCCGGATCCACAGAGCTGGTTGCTGGCGAGTCGGTGATTGCCCGATCTACGTCGGAGATGGCCAAATTTGTACCGGTGGTGGTCAGATATGTAGCGGTGGCGGCCGGATCTACTACGACGGTCAGTTTTGAGGCGGTGGCGTTCGCCGGCGGCGACAAGAGACCGGCAGGAGTGCGTACTGTTGGTGGTTGGCGTAAGAAACAAGTAATCTAGGACCTTAAATCACATTTTATATTGCATACGGAGTATTTTTTATAAAAATTAAAATTAATGAAAGAGTTTGGTAAGAAAAAAAGAAAACATAAAGGAAAGAAGGCATGGCCCGGGAGTGACTAACTAACGTAAGAAAAATGAAAGAGGTATGGCCTCACTAACTAACGTAAGAAGCAAATAAAACTAGAGAGCAGGAGCAGTAAGTTAAAGGCATGAAGTCGTAGCATATTACAAAAATACCAGGTGTATAGCTACACTCGGATGTATGTTATAATTTGCCGTATTTACTCCTATTTGGATGAATCCCTCTATTTAATTTCCAATGTAGAATTTGATCCCTTCATTCGGCTCCGCATTAAATTAGTAAACCAAAAGGTTCCAAATTGAAAAATGATTGGTAAAGACCCCTAGCCTTCCTCGGGTTTTCCGGCCACCACCATTTATATACCGCACCCGGTCAATATATAAACGGAAAGTTAACCGGCAGTAGTTCGATTCTTTATAGTCGATAATCATCTAATCGAAGCAAACATATTATATAATCATGGGTTCAACGGCTGCCGCCGGAGTGGGAGTGGAAAGGTGGAGCAGGGACATGCCCCCAGCCCACTTCATCTTCAAGATACGTTCCTTCTCTCTACTCTCTGAAACTGGTGTTGACAGAATTGAATCTGGGGTTTTTGAGGCCTGCGATAAAAAATGGTACGTACGCCCATGCCTTTAATTAGTGCCTTGTGAATTTGAAATGTCCTCTTTCGTACGTATGTATTCATTAGTCATATATACTTGCTCTAGCTTTACTTTCGGATTTTGTTTGTGCTGTACGTACGTATTATTTTTGGTTTCAGGAAACTGTGCGTTGTTTACCCAGAGGGAGAGTTGACGGAAAAAGATGATGATAATGAAGAGCATATCTCCCTCTACTTGCAAATTGTTGATACTGATGAGTTTCCGGCAGGATGGGAGGTGCACGCTAAGTTTAGCCTCTTTGTTTATGATCATGTCCATGATAAATACTTGACTATCCAAGGTATTTATATTAGAAATTGCTCTGACTAAAAAATATAGAAAGTTTAAAACAGCGATAGGACTAATGAGAGAGTTTATTCCCATTTTTTTTATGTTAGTCCCATTTTTTTATGTTAGTCCCATTTTTGAACTTCTTGAACATCATGCATATTTCAAAAATAAAACATAGCAAGTCTTATTTTAGGTTTTTGTCATAGTTTTAGTTCTATTTGAACTAATTTCTATATATAAAACCTACGGAGTATTATTACACACTCCCTATCTACATACTTCCTTCCTCCTTAGTAAATGTTCTCATTTTCTTTATAATGTTTGACTGCAAAAAATTTCCATTAGTATTAATTACTCCGTACTATTTAAAATTCGCTACACAAAAATATTACTTAGTAGTTATAATTGCATTAAAAGTCACATCGTAATAAAGTTACTACAATATAAACTTTGAACACAATTATATATTGTAGTCACTTATAGTCACTAAGTATTTAATACTTTTCTTTATGATCTTTTTATTAGTAATATTCAAGGAAAAACTTCTAAAGTTAATCATATGATCTCTATCAATAATAAGTACAAGTATATTTTTGGTAAATAAAATTTACAAATTTTAATGCTTCGTTGAAAAGATTAATTTATATGTGTATACATACATCTGGAGCTAGTATATTATATACACAGTAAAAAGTAAAAGATTAAGGTTATATACGTTGATATATTGGATAATAGTAAATGAGAACATTTATCTAGGATGGATGTATTATATTGTTGGGTTAATTCCTCTGATAGGATTAAAACAATACACTAGTGCAATAATAGAAGCTTAACGTTTGGTAAGACTAAAAAAGAACTAAATTTACCATTTTACCCTTAATGAAACATTTGAAGACTAATAAAATATACGGAGTACAGATTAAAACAAATTGAACTCATATTTTGGGAATAAAAAACATAGGATCCTATTTCGGAATTATTCCTATATATATTTTACTCGTATCAGGGCAATTCTATATATTGTTTTACGTACTCAAATGTGAGAAAGCTCTAAGTTATTCACCAAGTTTTATTCTTGTAATAGACATGTGAGTAAGAATATACGCAATATTTGTATTTATCTAGAATATTCTATGTAGAAAAGGCTAGAGATGATCTAGAGAGTTAAAGGTAGAAAGTATTCTAGAAAATTCTCTACTAGAGAATTCTTATGTAAAATCTAGAGTAATTAGACATAGATGTAGAATACTCTAGAATCATAGCATTTAATAAGGATCTAGAATGATCCTCTAGTTCCTATAAATAGGACTCATTGTACTCATTTTCAAACCAAGCAAAACCAAGAAACATCAATACAATACTACTTTTCTAGAGACAAGAGCTCTCCTCTAAAACACATCATCTACATTACACCTCACTAAAATCACTTATTCTATTCATACAACCAACAACCTCTTCTATTTTCTAACAAGTGGTATCAGAGCTTGTTCGATCATAAGCGGGCATTATGACGACATCAAGCTTCTCGGTATCAACTCCGATGTTCAATGGAGAAAGCTATGACTATTGGAGTGTCCGTATGAAGACTTGCCTAGAATCACATGATCTCTGGGATATTGTTGAAGAAGGAATCATCATGCCGGAAAAAGGAAGCGACGACTCATCAACTTCCGAGGTACGTAAGAAACAAAAACAGCAAAATGCTAGAGCTCTCTATCTTCTTCAACAATCCGTTTGTGATACTATTTTCCCGAGAATAATTCGTGCTACTACGGCAAAAGAAGCTTGGGATATTCTTAAGGAGGAATTTCAAGGAAATGAGAAAGTTAGAACTATTAAATTACAAAGTTTAAGAAGAGAGCTCGAAAATTTAAAGATGAGAGATTCTGAAATGGCAAAAGATTATTTCTCTCGGGTTATACATATAGTCAACGAAATGAGAACTCTTGGAGAAAACATAACCGACGAGAGAATAATCCAGAAAGTCCTAATCAGTCTCCCTGAAAAATATGATCCAGTAGTTTCGGCTATTGAGGAGTCAAAAGATCTATCAAAAATGTCCATCACTGAATTAATGGGGTCGCTAGAAGCACGTGAGCAAAGGCTGAACAGACGACACGAAAGTTCATTAGAAAGTGTCTTCCAGTCTAAGCTCAACATTAAAAGGAATCACTCGAGAAATGGTGAAAACTTTAAACCACATAAAGATGGGAATTCTAACAATAAGGAGAGGAAGACGAACTTTCCACCATGCAAAATATGCAAGAAGACTAATCACTTAGAGAAAGATTGCTACCATCGAGGAAAGCCACAATGCAGAAATTGCAAGAGGTTCGGGCATGAAGAAAAAGATTGTAGAGATAGAAGAAACTATCAGGCCAACTATTCTGAAGATTTTAAGGAGAAGGAGTACATGTTCTACGCATGTCACTCAGCCATAGAAGCAAAAGAAGAAGAGTGGTACATCGATAGTGGGTGCAGCAATCACATGACATCCAACGAGACCATCTTCCATGACTTAGATACCTCTATCAAGACAAAAGTCAAGATGGGCAATGGCGATTTGGTGGAGGCAAAGGGGAAAGGTACCATTGTCATAGATACAAAGAAAGGTACGCGCTTTATTAGAAACGTTCTCCTAGTGCCACGCCTTGCACAAAATCTACTAAGTGTTGGCCAAATGATGGAAAGTGGATATGCCTTGCACTTTGAGAAAAATTCTTGCCGAATTTATGACAAGAACAATAATCAAGAAATTGCTGAAGTAAAAATGGGAAATAATAGAAATTTTCCTATTCAATGGCAATATCCACAAAAGGCGATGGTGGCTCACCTGAGTGATACGAGTCTATGACATCGAAGATTTGGGCACTTCAATCTCAATGCCTTGAGATTACTACACCAAAAGAAGATGATGAGAGACATGCCTCTACTGGATGAAAAAGAAGGAGTATGTGAAGGATGTATGGTTGGGAAGCAGCACAGGCAACCATTTCCAACAGAAAAGACATGGAGAGCCAAACAGATACTAGAGCTTGTCCACACCGATGTTTGCGGTCCAATGCGCACGCCTTCAGTTTCGAAGAACAGGTACTTCATACTCTTCATCGATGATTACTCTAGGATGACATGGGTGTATTTTTTCCAAGAAAAATCCGAAGTCTTTAGAATATTCAAGAGATTCAAGAACTTCGTGGAGAAACAGAGTGGTCATCAAATCAAGAAGTTGAGAAGCGATCGAGGTACCGAATACAACTCAAAAGAATTTGACAAGTTCTGTGAAGATGAAGGTGTAGAGCATCAACTAACAGTAGCATACACTCCACAACAAAATGGGGTATCCGAAAGGAAGAACCGCACAGTCATGGAGATGGCAAGGTCTATGTTAGCTGAAAAAGGAATGCCTAAAACGTTCTGGGCAGAGGCAGTATATACTTCAGTCTATCTTCTAAACCGGTGTCCAACTAAGGCGGTTTTAAACAAAACACCTATTGAGGCATGGTCTGGACAAAAGCCTTCAGCCAAACATTTGAAGGTCTTCGGAAGCATATGCTACATTCATGTTCCCTCTGTTAAAAGGCACAAATTAGAAGACAAGACAGAGAAGGGCATCTTCCTTGGCTATAGCTCCAAATCCAAGGGATATCGAATCTACAATCTCGAGACAAAGAAGTTGGTGACAAGTCGAGATGTGGAGTTTGACGAGCAAGCCTCTTGGAATTGGGAGACAGAAAAAGTTGAAAGAAAGACAACTACTGTCCAACTAGAGGAAATACCAGAAGAGGAAAATCACGATCAACAAAGCCCCACGTCTACTCCAAGATCCTCTTTTGAAGCTAATACATCAAGAAATCACGGCTCCTCACCAGAGTCCCCACCTCTTCGGGTAAGAACTCTAGCAGACCTATATGAGTCTACTGACATCTATGAAACATGCAACTTTTGCTCCTTGGAGCCATATAGCTACACCGAAGCCTCCAAAGAAAAAGTTTGGATTAAAGCAATGGAGGAGGAGATCAAAATGATAGAAAAGAATGATACTTGGGAAATGGTAGATCTTCCACATAACAAGGAGGTTATTGGAGTCAAATGGGTGTATAAAACAAAATTGAACCCCGATGGCTCAATTCAGAAGCATAAGGCAAGGCTGGTTGCAAAGGGGTATGCTCAAATACCGGGAGTTGACTACACAGAGACGTTTGCACCTGTTGCCCGGATGGACACAATAAGAACACTCATAGCTCTTGCTGCTCAGAAGAAATGGAAAATTTATCAGCTAGATGTCAAGTCAGCCTTTCTAAATGGAGAGCTACGAGAAGAAGTGTATGTGGAGCAACCAGAAGGATTCATCAAAGAAGAAGGAAAAGTTTTTCGTCTAAAGAAAGCGCTTTACGGGCTCAAACAAGCTCCACGAGCGTGGTATAGCAAGATTGATGGATACTTCACCCGTCAAGGGTTCAGGAGGAGTAAGAACGAGGCTACACTATACATCAAATCCCAAGGTAAATCTGACATTCTCATCGTCTCTCTATATGTTGATGACTTAATTGTCACGGGAAATAATTCCAAATTAATTGAAGAATTTAAGAGAGACATGATGAACACTTTTGAGATGAGTGACTTGGGATTAATGCACTACTTTCTTGGCATGGAGATAAGTCAAGAAGAAGAAGGCATATTCTTATCTCAAGAAAAATATATTAAGGACATGCTAAAGAAGTTTAAAATGCAAGACTGCAAAGCCGTCGTTACTCCACTGGTTCCTAATGAAAAATTGAAGAAAGAAGATGGGTCAAAGCAGACGGATGCAACCAATTACCGAAGTTTGATTGGGAGTCTACTCTACTTAACGGCTACGAGGCCGGAAATCATGTATGCTACAAGTTTGCTCTCGAGGTTCATGGAAAGTCCAACTGAGACTCATTATGGAGCGGCAAAGAGACTCCTTAGGTATCTACAAGGAACCATCAATTATGGTATTTGGTACAAAACAACTCCTGACTCACGACTAACTGGATATAGCGACAATGATTGGGCTGGATCTCAAGATGACATGAAAAGCACCTCCGGTTACGCATTTAAGCTGGGTTCGGGAATTTTCTCATGGGGATCAAAGAAGCAAGATTCTGTTGCACTATCTTCAGCCGAAGCCGAGTATGTTGTAGCAGCCGGAGCAGCGTGCCAAGCTATATGGCTAAAAACAATATTAGAAGACATGGGAGAATTGCAAAGTTCTGCGACTCAAATATTTTGCGACAACAAGTCAGCTATTGCGATGGCTAAAAATCCAATTCAGCACAATCGTACTAAGCACATCGATATCAAGTATCACTTCTTGAGAGATGTCCAAGCAAAGGGGCATATTGAGATGAAGTACTGCCCAACAGAAGAACAATTGGCAGATATTTTCACGAAGGCCCTGCCAAGAGACAGATTCCAGTTTCTGCGAAGAATGCTTGGAGTCACCGACAAATGCATCAAGGAGGAGTATTAAATAGTGATGCATTTATCTAGAATATTCTATGTAGAAAAGGCTAGAGATGATCTAGAGAGTTAAAGGTAGAAAGTATTCTAGAAAATTCTCTACTAGAGAATTCTTATGTAAAATCTAGAGTAATTAGACATAGATGTAGAATACTCTAGAATCATAGCATTTAATAAGGATCTAGAATGATCCTCTAGTTCCTATAAATAGGACTCATTGTACTCATTTTCAAACCAAGCAAAACCAAGAAACATCAATACAATACTACTTTTCTAGAGACAAGAGCTCTCCTCTAAAACACATCATCTACATTACACCTCACTAAAATCACTTATTCTATTCATACAACCAACAACCTCTTCTATTTTCTAACAGTTATTCACCAAGTTTTATTCTTGTAATAGACATGTGAGTAAGAATATACTCAATATTTGTACTTGGTGCTCTTATATGCTCTTGCACAGATGCCGGTGGAAAAACAAGGCGGTTCAACTGCATGAAAACAGAACATGATTTTGATGGGCTGCTTCCCTGGTCTACTTTCAAAGATCCCTCTAATGGATACCTGATTAATGACACGTGCGCTTTCGGGGCTGAGATTCTCTCCATTTCAAGTGCTACAAAACATGAATGCCTTTCTCTGGTGAAGGAACCAATTAAGAAGGGAACTTACACGTGGACAATCGACGGCTTCACATTAAAAAAGCGAGAGAGTCGCATTCGCTCTCATGAGTTCACCGTTGAAGGAAGGAAATGGTAAATTAAAGTGTTCAATGATTTGTGTACATATAGTGCCTCTACTTTAAACTCGGGTATAATGCACGAATGTGATATGGAAATTCGGCGCATTAGATTTCTTTGATTTGAAAACTGTGTCAAACCTCTTTGTGTTTTAATTAATTATGCGCAAAATCCCTTCTATGAACAAATTCAATTGTCAAATAATAGAAAAATGATTAACATTTTTGTACGATTTAAAGATTTTGACATATTTACTTGCATATTCAATCACAATATTAGGAAAAGTGATTTCCAAATCGTTAATTTATTCATAAAAAGGATTTTGTGCATGATTAATTAATACACAAGAGGGTTTGACGCATTTTTCAAACCATTACGGGCTAATGCGCTTAATTTCTATATCACAAGGGGGTTTGGTGCATTAAACCCCTTTAAACTTTGACATGCATTTGTATCCCAAATTATTTTATAACATACAAGTAAATGATATGAAAATTTTCATTTATTAATTAAAGATCAATACAAAATACTCCTTTCGTCCCTAAATAAAAGTTCTTGTTTCACTTTCGAGTAATTAACGTTCAAAGTTTAACAAGTTTGATTCAAAAAGTCAAACATGAACTTTTTTTTAGGAACGAAGATAGTAAAAAATAGTGATCATCAAATGTGACGGCATTAATATACATGAACGTAACGTCAAAGATGATCATGAAGTTTCAACTTTCAAGGCATAAATGATTATAGGGAGTATTAGTTTATAATATGATATGGAAACACTACGTTTTGAATATTTAATTTGTTTCAATACCGTATATTTTACTGCAGTCGTCTGTATTAATAATTATTAAATAGTGATGCATTTATCTAGAATATTCTATGTAGAAAAGGCTAGAGATGATCTAGAGAGTTAAAACTAGAAAGTATTCTAGAAAATTCTCTACTAGAGAATTCTTATGTAAAATCTAGAGTAATTAGACATAGATGTAGAATACTCTAGAATCATAGCATTTAATAAGGATCTAGAATGATCCTCTAGCTCCTATAAATAGGACTCATTGTACTCATTTGCAAACCAAGCAAAATCAAGAAACATCAATACAATACTACTTTTCTAGAGACAAGAGCTCTCCTCTAAAACACATCATCTACATTACACCTCACTAAAATCACTTATTCTACTCATACAACCAACAACCTCTTCTATTTTCTAACAAGTGGTATCAGAGCTTGTTCGATCATAAGCGGGCATTATGGCGACATCAAGCTTCTCGGTATCAACTCCGATGTTCAATGGAGAAAGCTATGACTATTGGAGTGTCCGTATGAAGACTTGCCTAGAATCACATGATCTCTGGGATATTGTTGAAGAAGGAATCATCATGCCGGAAAAAGGAAGCGACGACGCATCAACTTCCGAGGTACGTAAGAAACAAAAACAGCAAAATGCTAGAGCTCTCTATCTTCTTCAACAATCCGTTTGTGATACTATTTTCCCGAGAATAATTCGTGCTACTACGGCAAAAGAAGCTTGGGATATTCTTAAGGAGGAATTTCAAGGAAATGAGAAAGTTAGAACTATTAAATTACAAAGTTTAAGAAGAGAGCTCGAAAATTTAAAGATGAGAGATTCTGAAATGGCAAAAGATTATTTCTCTCGGGTTATACATATAGTCAATGAAATGAGAACTCTTGGAGAAAACATAACCGACGAGAGAATAATCCAGAAGGTCCTAATCAGTCTCCCTGAAAAATATGATCTAGTAGTTTCGGCTATTAAGGAGTCAAAAGATCTTTAAAAAATGTCCATCACTGAATTAATGGGGTCGCTAGAAGCACGTGAGCAAAGGTTGAACAGACGACACGAAAGTTCATTAGAAAGTGCCTTCCAGTCTAAGCTCAACATTAAAGGGAATCACTCGAGAAATGGTGAAAACTTTAAACCACATAAAGATGGGAATTCTAACAACAAGGAGAGGAAGACGAACTTTACACCATGCAAAATATGCAAGAAGACTAATCACTTAGAGAAAGATTGCTACCATCGAGGAAAGCCACAATGCAGAAATTGCAAGAGGTTCGGGCATGAAGAAAAAGATTGCAGAGATAGAAGAAACTATCAAGCCAACTATTCTGAAGATTTTAAGGAGAAGGAGTACATGTTCTACGCATGTCACTCAGCCATAGAAACAAAAGAAGAAGAGTGGTACATCGATAGTGAGTGCAACAATCACATGACATCCAACGAGACCATCTTCCATGACTTAGACACCTCTATCAAGACAAAGGTCAAGATGGGCAATGGCGATTTGGTGGAGGCAAAGGGGAAAGGTACCATTGTCATAGATACAAAGAAAGGTATGCGCTTTATTAGAAACGTTCTCCTAGTGCCACGCCTTGCACAAAATCTACTAAGTGTTGGCCAAATGATGGAAAGTGCATATGCCTTGCACTTTGAGAAAAATTCTTGCCGAATTTATGACAAGAATAATAATCAAGAAATTGCTGAAGTAAAAATGGGAAATAATAGAAATTTTCCTATTCATTGGCAATATCTACAAAAGGCGATGGTGGCTCAACTGAGTGATACGAGTTTATGGCATCGAAGATTTGGACACTTCAATCTCAATGCCTTGAGATTACTACACCAAAAGAAGATGATGAGAGATATGCCTCTACTGGATGAAAAAGAAGGAGTATGTGAAGGATGTATGGTTGGGAAGCAGCACAGGCAACCATTTCCAACAGAAAAGACATGGAGAGCCAAATAGATACTAGAGCTTGTCCACACCGATGTCTGCGGTCCAATGCGCACGCCTTCAGTTTCGAAGAACAGGTACTTCATACTCTTCATCGATGATTACTCTAGGATGACATGGGTGTATTTTTTCCAAGAAAAATCTGAAGTCTTTAGAATATTCAAGAGATTCAAGAACTTCGTGGAGAAACAGAGTGGTCATCAAATCAAGTAGTTGAGAAGCGATCGAGGTACCGAATACAACTCAAAAGAATTTGACAAGTTCTGTGAAGATGAAGGTGTAGAGCATCAACTAACAGTAGCATACACTCCACAACAAAATGGGGTATCCGAAAGGAAGAACCGCACAGTCATGGAGATGGCAAGGTCTATGTTAGCTGAAAAAGGAATGCCTAAAACGTTCTGGGCAGAGGCAGTATATACTTCAGTCTATATTCTAAACCGGTGTCCAACTAAGGCGGTTTTAAACAAAACACCTATTGAGGCATGGTCGGGACAAAAGCCTTCAGCCAAACATTTGAAGGTCTTCGGAAGCATATGCTACATTCATGTTCCCTCTGTTAAAAGGCACAAATTAGAAGACAAGACATAGAAGAGCATCTTCCTTGGCTATAGCTCCAAATCCAAAGGATATCGAATCTACAATCTCGAGACAAAGAAGTTGGTGACAAGTTGAGATGTGGAGTTTGACGAGCAAGCCTCTTGGAATTGGGAGACAGAAAAAGTTGAAAGAAAGACAACTACTGTCCAACTAGAGGAAATACCAGAAGAGGAAAATCACGATCAACAAAGCCCCACGTCTACTCCAAGATCCTCTTTTGAAGCTAATACATCAAGAAATCACGACTCCTCACCAGAGTCCCCACCTCTTCGGGTAAGAACTCTAGCAAACCTATATGAGTCTACTGACATCTATGAAACATTCAACTTTTGCTCCTTGGAGCCATATAGCTACACCGAAGCCTCCAAAGAAAAAGTTTGGATTAAAGCAATGGAGGAGGAGATCAAAATGATAGAAAAGAATGATACTTGGGAAATGATAGATCTTCCACATAACAAGGAGGTTATTGGAGTCAAATGGGTGTATAAAACAAAACTGAACCCCGATGGCTCAATTCAGAAGCATAAGGCAAGGTTGGTTGCAAAGGGGTATGCTCAAATACCGGGAGTTGACTACACAGAGACGTTTGCACCAGTTGCCCGGATGGACACAATAAGAACACTCATAGCTCTTGCTGCTCAGAAGAAATGGAAATTTTATCAGCTAGACGTCAAGTCAGCCTTTCTAAATGGAGAGCTACGAGAAGAAGTGTATATGGAGCAACCAGAAGGATTCATCAAAGAAGAAGGAAAAGTTCTTCGTCTAAAGAAAGCGCTTTACGGGCTCAAACAAGCTCCACAAGCGTGGTATAGCAAGATTGATGGATACTTCACCCGTCAAGGGTTCAGGAGGAGTAAGAACGAGGCTACACTATACATCAAATCCCAAGGTAAATCTGACATTCTCATCGTCTCTCTATATGTTGATGACTTAATTGTCACGGGAAATAACTCCAAATTAATTGAAGAATTTAAGAGAGACATGATGAACACTTTTGAGATGAGTGACTTGGGATTAATGCACTACTTCCTTGGCATGGAGATAAGTCAAGAAGAAGAAGGCACATTCTTATCTCAAGAAAAATATATTAAGGACATGCTAAAGAAGTTTAAAATGCAAGACTGCAAAGCCTCGTTACTCCACTGGTTCCTAATGAAAAATTGAAGAAAGAAGATGGGTCAAAGTAGACGGACGCAACCAATTACCGAAGTTTGATTGGGAGTCTACTCTACTTAACGGCTACGAGGCCGGACATCATGTATGCTACAAGTTTGCTCTCAAGGTTCATGGAAAGTCCAACTGAGACTCATTATGGAGCGGCAAAGAGACTCCTTAGGTATCTACAAGGAACCATCAATTATGGTATTTGGTACAAAACAACTCCTGACTCACGACTAACTGGATATATCGACAGTGATTGGGCTGGATCTCAAGATGACATGAAAAGCACCTCCGGTTACGCATTTAAGCTGGGTTCGGGAATTTTCTCATGGGGATCAAAGAAGCAAGATTCTGTTGCACTATCTTCAGCCGAAGCCGAGTATGTTGCAGCAGCCGGAGCAGCGTGCCAAGCTATATGGCTAAAAAGAATATTAGAAGACATGGGAGAATTGCAAAGTTCTGCGACTCAAATATTTTGCGACAACAAGTCAGCTATTGGGATGGCTAAAAATCCAATTCAGCACAATCGTACTAAGCACATCGATATCAAGTATCACTTCTTGAGAGATGTCCAAGCAAAGGGGCATATTGAGATGAAGTACTGCCCCACAGAAGAACAATTGGCAGATATTTTCACGAAGGCCCTGCCAAGAGACAGATTCCAGTTTCTGCGAAGAATGCTTGGAGTCACTGACAAATGCATCAAGGAGGAGTATTAAATAGTGATGCATTTATCTAGAATATTTTATGTATAAAAGGCTAGAGATGATCTAGAGAGTTAAAGCTAGAAAGTATTCTAGAAAATTCTCTACTAGAGAATTCTTATGTAAAATCTAGATTAATTAGACATAGATGTAGAATACTCTAGAATCATAGCATTTAATAAGGATCTAGAATGATCCTCTAGCTCCTATAAATAGGACTCATTGTACTCATTTGCAAACCAAGCAAAACCAAGAAACATCAATACAATACTACTTTTCTAGAGACAAGAACTCTCCTCTAAAACACATCATCTACATTACACCTCACTAAAATCACTTATTCTACTCATACAACCAACAACCTCTTCTATTTTCTAACAATAATTTATATATAATGCCCAAATTGAACAGGAAACTGTTACTCTATCCGAGTGGAGATTCAAGAGCAAATGGCCGTTATTTGTCCCTTTTTCTAGAGTTGCTTAATTTTGAAGACATTATTGTTCATGGCAGAAAAGTATATGCTAAGTTTATTTTGCGGATTCGTAATCAACTGGGCATCGTGGAACATAAAGAAGCAGAAGGTTTGGCGTTTGAATTGGCTATCCTTACATTTCTAAATTTTTAAAGGCTGTTTTTTTATGCACACGCAGTACTACTTATTTATTTTGTCTGATTTTTAAATCGTGCAGTGAATGGATTTTTTGACGGGTCTGACGGCTGGGGTGGATCAAAATTCCTTCTACTCAGCGAAGTGGAAAGTTCTTCAAAGGGGTTCCTTGTTAAAGATTCACTGATTGTCGAAGTTGAATTTAAGCTTCTGTCGAAATATTTATAGCTAGATTATTGCCTTATGGCCGGGGCAAATCTTTACCATCATGCATCTTTTGTCGTCCATTCCACCAACAATGTTCAATGGATAGTTCAGACATGAATTGTATTCCACCTTTAAGAGCTCAATTGGTGATCATATTTTCGGCTTATCAACCTTATTTTTCGACATAATTTTTACCAAACACGTAATTTTTGATTTCACGCGCTCATTACAAAAATATCATACGGAGTATTAGGCAAGGATATATTTTGGCTCAGAGATGTGCTACATGTCCGAGCAGGGGCGGATCTAGCTTTCGCATCCAGGTGGGGCCAAAATTTAATTAAAAACGAATATTCAAAAAAACATTCATTCTAGCAACAAAATCAAAGACAAAAATAAAGATTATAGGAATAAGAGTTTTCATTAAAGTCAGATACAAAAACATCATATTTTTACAACTGTTCTCTACGGGTTTTCATCGATTGATATCGTTTGATAATGACATCATTGTCAATTTTCAAGAAGATGATTTTTCTACATAAACAATAATCAAATTCATATCAAGCAAACCTGTAATTTAGTCTTTAACTTGTATTAAAAACACAATAAAATTAAAAGATTAAAAAAAATACCTCTTCAGCACTTAGGACATAGGTAGCAGTTATCTGATTTGCTTCAGCCAATTGACAGACCTGCCATTGTATTGACAAAATTTACATTAAAAACAAAAAAAAAATTACTAGGAAAGTGATCATAAATTTGGAAAGGACAATTAAGAAGAATGTATCTAACCATATTGGATGGAGGGAATAAAATATACTCGTAGTTGCAGAAACTTATCGAGTGCCATTACTTATTAGTAAGTTGATGCATAAAGTGAGATTGTGAGAACCAAAATCCTTAAGAACCATGGCATTCATCTTAAAAGTAAATAAAATTGTAAACCAAGTCTTACAGAAGGGAATTAACTGAACCCTACCATCTTTACACCAAGACCAAATTTTCCAGGTGTTTGTTTCAAGCCATACTTTGTCCCAGACAACACTGCAATTCGGAATATTCAAAGTATCAAACATCTTTGAGCTCCTTAACAATTTAGGGAATTTGAATTTGGAAAGTCAGATATGCTGCTAAGAGCATCTAATTGCTCCCTATTTCTTAACTCAACCACCCACTTTTTATTTTATTTTTGTTTAGCTTAGTTATGATTTCCAAAAAAGGTGGAAAAGAAAACAATATGAATAAACTAAATCAATAATTACTACCAACATTACATTTATGCCTCTTTCAAACATGTTAGCGATATCATCATGTGGCATTTCTTTTCCATTATTCTATATCAAAACTCAATTAAATAAGTAATATTTCTAAACAGAAAGAGTGCATCACAGATTGAGAGCCATGTAAAATGAAAGATGGACCTGCAACTAAATAATAGCTTCGTGGAATTAGCAAGTACAGAGTTACAAACTTACAGTGACTGAAGATGGACGTCCGAGTGTTGAGCGCCTGAGCAGCAGAGCCACCGACCCACCGTGCGCCGTCCTAGACGTCCGTCAACGACTGAAGATGGACGATGGCTGCTGCGTGCCCGCGTGCCAGATTTCTAGGTCATGTATTGGTTTTTGCCCTTGGGGGTTTTGCCGAGCTCGTCGAAGCAGAACGAAAGCGCGGCTCGACTCTTCCCCTGAGCGTGCTGGCTGCTTCACGTGCTTGGACTTGATATTTTGGACTGGGCCTGATTTTTTAAAATTTGAGACTGGGCCTGATTTTTAAACCTATATAATAGTTAAAAAGAAAGAAAATTTCAGCATGGACCTAGGCCCTCCCTGGCCGTAGGCCCAATCCGCCCCTGTGTCCGAGACCAACGAGTGGGTTTGGTGCTGCCTTTGGTGCGGTTATGCTCCAGAGATCGTGACACTACCGGTCTTCCAGACCAATAGCCCCATAGGCTCATATTATCGTGTCCGTTCCAAAAACTGTCTCGGACTAAATTTGCGACACTGCTAAAAGTCTAATACTAGTAAGAATTATTTAACATTTGAATTAAAGCAACTCAACTCTTATCTCCACCTACCTCCTATTTATACAACTTGAGAGAGAAGCACTACTAAAAAACAGGCTTACAGTGACACTTTTATAGTGACACTTTTATGTCAGATACCACTATTGATACAGAAGTGTCACTAATATGTAACACAAAAATATCACCGTCAAATAGTGACACTTTTTTCAGAAGTGAAGCTAAGTATACGTTTTTTCCCCTAAATGGGCCGTTCATGATCTGAGCCCGTCTTCTAATCACTTACGTTTTTTCCTAAGCTAGCTAACACGTACACTTGCCTTTTTTCCTCAAACCCTAAACCATCTTCTTCTCCACATAGCATGTCAGAGATCGATCGATTTACTCAAACCCTACATACGTACGAACCCTAGCTAGAGGAAGACCTCAGATCGATCGATTCTTCTCCTTGAGAGGGAACGAACCCTAGCTACGACCTCAGAGATCGATCGATTTACTCCTCTCTCGATCGATTCTTGTTCTTCAGGGAGTTGGCCGGCTCTGTGGACACAGCTTCGACGGACGGACATAGCTTCGTGATTTGGACACTTGAGCGGACGACTCGTGGCTTAATTCTCCTCCGTCAACTGAACACCTATGTAAGTCATTCTTCTCCATTTGCCTTCCCTGAAATTAGTCTAACTTTTTTTTTCCGAAAATGGTGACTTTAGTACAATTTTAAATTACTCGGTGTTCATAACTTATTGCATTTCTATGGAGATGTTTTTGCTACGTGTCGTGAGATTGCTTATGAAAATCTTATATTACTTTCAATTGCTTTCCATCTTATGTTGTTAGTCGATATTAATTTAGATTTCCTTGCCTTCTTTAATAAATATCAGCAACGGCTTCTACTTGTTAGTCATATACTTCTATGACTTTAAAAGATTTAGATTCATTGTTATTGAAAATTTTGAAATAATACTTTACTGTAGATACACACACATATGTGTTATAGTATATTTCTTACTTTTGGGGCCAGCAGATAAGTTTGAACACATTTTTAAATATGTTTGTGCTTCAAAAACTAGCATACAATTTGTAAAACTAACACTTATTGCAGATAAGTTTGAAATAGCGTTTGCTTAAACACACAACTTAGTTAGATACGTTAAAACCTGTAATAATAGTTAGATACAGTTTAGTTAGATATGTTACAATGCAACTTTGACCAAAGTTAAATCATAAACTGATATATTCAAACTTTAGAGTTGTATTCATTTAGCCGATTCAAATGTTTTATCCATACAAGTTTCAAATAAACCAACCTGAATATGACGATGTGTCGTTTGCATGTCTGAATATGTATTCGATAATACGACTCTTTAATATAATGTTGACATTATCTATTGAAAGATAAAGTATATTAAATGATGTTCTTATATGTAAAATCTGCTCAAAAATAGTATTGCACGAACTAGCACTTAATTGCATATAAGTTTGAAATAACTTTTGTGCTTCAAAAATAGGCTATACTGAAATGGATCGAGCCGTGTAGAGTTTTTCATGGCCTATTTCAAACTTATCTGCAATAAGTTCTAGTTTTACATATTATATGTAAAGTGCTAGTTTTACATGTTAATTGCTGTTGAAAATTGGTCGATTGAGCCGTGTATTGCACGAACAAAATCTGCTCAAATAGTAATTTTTGTAATGAGTAGTGAACTAATCTGCCATTGTGATATGACATACTAAAATAACCACCGGATAATTGCATGCAAGTAATATGTAAATCTAGTGACTGTAGAGATGAAATTATAGGTCATTAAAGACATTGGTAACAGTGTTATTGATTTTTAATTAAGTTGAGCAGTATATTTTCAGCCTTGTGAAGTTATAATTTGTGAGTTGTTAATGACTAGAGTATTCACATGTCATGAATTGAAGTGTTCTGTGTGCATACATATGTTCTTTGAATAAGTATGTGAAATATGTTGTTGTCTTATAATAATTATCAGGAATCTAGACATTGATAGATCGTGGATAACGGAAGGTAACCGTCTGTCTGAAGCATACATAAATGGAGTTGATGACTTCATACAATTTTCTATTGTTAACTCAGAAAATCGTAGATCATTCAGGTGTCCGTGTAGAGATTGTTGCAACATGGAATTTAGTACTCCTGAAAAAATTAAAGTGCATTTGTTGAAAGTAGGTTTCTTGAAAACTTACCTTATTTGGAGTAGGCATGGAGAGATTGAAAAAACTCCTAACTTTAATCCATCACAGTCAACATTTCATGATCAAAATGAAGTTGACGAGATGTTAGGTGATATCTATGAACAACTAGAGGGTAACCCAAAAGGTTTTAAGGAAGTAGTTGAAGATGCGGAAAAGCCATTGTATGAAGGGTCAAATTATTCTAGGCTATCAGGGTTAATGATGTTGTACAATATTAAAGGGAAGTATGGCTGGTCTGATCAGGGGTTCACGGATTTATTGGAAGCTCTTTCGAACATATTACCCGCTAACAACACTATTCCTAAGTCAATGTACGAAGCTAAGAAAATAATGAAGGTATTAGGATTGGATTATCAGAATATACATGCTTGCCGTAATGATTGCATACTTTTTCACAAGCAACATAGTGACCTTGAAATCTGTCCCACATGTGGCGAGTCTAGGTGGAAAGAAGAAAAAAATGGAGCCATAACAGCTACTAATAGAATTCCCGAGAAAGCTTTGTGGTATTTTCCTCCAATTCCTCGGTTCAAGCGTATGTTCCAATCACCCCAAACTGCTGAGCACTTGCATGGCACGCAAATCATCGCATCAAAGATGGGAAATTGCGTCATCCAGCCGATGCTCAAGCTTGGCAACACATTGATAAAACATGGCCTGATTTTAGTGAAGATCCTAGGAATCTTAGGTTGGCACTTTCAAGTGATGGAGTAAATCCACACAGTTCACTAAGTTCTTCCTACAGTTGTTGGCCTGTTCAATTAGTTATTTATAACCTTCCGCCTTGGTTGACCATGAAACGAAAGTTCATGATGTTATCTCTCTTAATATCTGGTCCTAAATTGCCCGGAAATGATATAGATATCTATTTAGAACCCTTGATCGATGACCTAAACACCCTTTGGCATGTGGGTGTAGAAGTTTTCGATAGTTTTAAAAAGGAAACCTTCAAGTTAAGAGCTATATTGATGTGGACTATAAGTGACTTCCCTGCTTATGGTAATCTGTCTGGGTGCACTGTTAAGGGCTATTATGCTTGTCCCATTTGTGGTCCAGCCACTTCATCTACCTGGCTGAAATGTAGCAAAAAATGTGTGTACATGAGCCATCGTCGCTTTTTACCTGATAACCATAGGTTTAGAGATCTAAAGAAACCTTTTAATAATAAAGTAGAGAGAGCTGGAGCCCCTGTAACTCTCTCTGGTGAAGATGTTCTCGAATTGGTAGAAGGGATAAATTATAAGAGTGGGAAGCGCAAGGACGACAAACGAAAGAGAAAGCGAGATCAAAAGGATGGAGGTATGAACAAATTGTTCAAACGCAAGTCCATTTTTTTAACTTAGAGTATTGGCAGCATTTGCGAGTTCGTCACCTATTAGATGTGATGCACATTGAAAAGAATGTGTGTGAGAGCATCTATGGAACCCTTCTGGATCAATCGAAAAAGACAAAGGATGGGCCCCATGCTCGAAATGACCTTATTCACTTGAACATAAAGAAAAACTTAATTCCTGAAGAAAATTCAAAATCTTTACCTCCAGCTCCCAGCACCTTGACCAAAAAAGACAAACACAAATTTTGTGAAACCATTTTGGGAATAAAGGTACCAGATGGTTATTCCTCTAATTTGAAAAGTATTGTTTCTGATGATGAGACTCACCTTCAAGGTCTCAAGTCTCATGACTGTCACACCTTGATGCAACAGATACTTCCCTTGGCCATTCGCAACATGTCAGTGGCTGAAAGCGTTACAAATGCTATTACCAATATGTGTTTGTTCTTTAATAAATTGTGTGAGAAAGTGTTGGATAGTGATTCACTTGATGAACTAGAGTCTAATCACCACATCACCATGTGTTGTCTTGAACAATACTTTCTACCTTCTTTTTTTGATATAATGGTTCATTTAACGGTCCATCTCGTTGCTCAAGTGCGGTTATGTGGCCCGGTTTACCTATGTTGGATGTACCCTTTTGAGAGAAGCATGAAGTTCTTGAAAGGGTATGTCCGCAATCATTACCATCCCGAGGGATGCATGGCAGAATGTTATGCAGCTGAAGAAGCGCTTGAGTTTTGCGCTGAATATCTTGCAAATCACCGGTCCATTGGATTACCTATGGATTGTGACAATATCGACCCAATTGAGAGGCCCTAGGACGTGGGGAGACTAAAATAGTGGACTGTTCCTTGCTCGAGCAAGCACATCGAACTGTTCTGTTTAATACGCCTGAAGTTTTGCCGTACATCCAGTAAGCATTCAGTTGATTTTTCTCAGTTCTTGTCATTTATCCAAATCCAAATATCTTATTGTTGATGCATAAATAAAAATAGGCAGCACATGTTGAAGCTGCAATCAAACTTTGATGGTTGTTGTGAAACAGAGCACTATCGAGTCTTTGTCTCATGGTTTGAGGAGAAGGTTAAATGCTCTTTAATTTAATGTTACAGAAAATACATATTTAACTCAAATGTACTAAACATTAAGTTTCTAATGTGTAGGTCTGTAATGATATTGCAAATGGTATGTGTGTTGAGAAAACAATCCAGTGGCTAGCAAAAAAACCGAACACAACTGTGTCAACATACTCACGATACATTGTAAATGGATATAGCTTTGCAACAAAGGATCGAGATTTAAATCGAGTTACACAAAATAGCGGGGTTACTCTTATAGCAGACACAACCGGAGTTTCCAACATGAATTACTATGGCGTCCTTGTTGAAATTTGGGTCCTTCATTACCTCATGATGAAGAGGGTCGTTTTCAAGTGTGATTGAGTACATAGTAGGCATGTGAAAAAAGATAAGTTGGGGTTCACATTAGTTGATCTAAATAAGATTGGTCACAAAACAGATAGTTTCATTTTAGCCTCACATGCAAAACAAGTTTTTTATGTGAAAGATCAACTTGATCCAAGAAAATCTATAGTTTGTTCAGTTGGTCAAAGGATAAATAGCTCTGGGATTACCGGATGTGATGAAATGATCATACATGAGCCCCTAACTTCACAATACCCAATAAATATTCTTGATTCGGGAACCCTAGATGATGTTGATAATTAATCATCATAAACTGCAACATCAATGGAAAAGTCAGTGAGTCCAGCGTGGAATGTTTTCTTTTCTTATTATAGTAAGTGCCTCTCTGATTTTACAATGGTTTATGGGTGAAGTTTTATGATTTTCAGTTGTGTATTATTTTATTTACTGTCTGTTTAGAAAGAACTAATTTTTATTTATTTATTTCATGTTTGTATATGCAGGATGAAGTCAGCTATGAAAAGCCACAAAGACATAGAGGATGCAGAGATTGAAGATGATATGGATGACTTGGATGAGGGACCAATTCAGCGAGAAAAAACCAAGAAGAAAATGTTGCTTCAGAAATCTACTGATGAGAAAGTTGTGGTCAAAGTGAATGAGTTTGGTGTTCTCGCTGGTGAGGGCTGGACTGAACTGGTCAGTTACATCGGGGTATTGGTGAGGGACTATGTCTCGATAGTGTTTGATGATTGGAGATCAGTTCCAGAGAAAGTCACAGATGAGATGTGGGAGCATATTCTGGTAAATAATAAGATATTTTTATACTACATTACAGGTTTTTGATTATTTTTAAATTTAATTATACAACGAATAAAAACACAAAATAATAACTTTTGGATTGTAGAAATTGTTTGTCTTGCCTCCGAATTCAAGGAAACATATCTACAGTGCAATGGGGGTTGCGCTTAGAAATTTCAGATGCAAGCTACGCACCAAATTCATCTGGAAGTACAGGAATAATCGCCAGAAGTTACTGCAACCTCCTCAAAAGTATAAGCAGATAAGTACTGATGAATGGAGGCTATTTGTTAAAAAGACTTTGAAAGGAGAATTTCAGGTTATTGTAATTTTTAAAGAAGTATTATTAAATAGTGATACATTTTTTTTACAAAGACTTAATTATTTGTAAATGTTTTTAGGTGAAAAGCATAAAAGGGAGTGAGAACCGGAAGAAGAATGTAAATAACCACCGACTGGGTTCCACGGGTTATGCAGGGTTAATTAACAAGAAGGTTTGTCCGTTTCTTCTATGTTTTTATTAGTTGATGTATGGCTGTTTAGATGATTGTTTTTTATTTTTCAAAACTCACAGAAAAAAGAACTTGGAACTGCTGCAATAGTGGTCGATCGATCAGACACATGGCTGTGGGGAAGGGAAAAAAAGGGCGGCGGATATGATGCTAGTGTTATGGAAGTCGCTAATGAAATTGTAAGTTTTTCACAGCTTTGATATTCTCCAGCATGTTTGAGGGTTTTTGTCGAGTATGATTTTGTTAGGTTCAATATGTTTTGTTTACCTTTAACGTACACATACAATAAATTAGCATTTGAGCAACCTAATGTTGATCTTCATCTGTATATATAGTGACCATATACCAAATTCTATCTGCATGTACTCTCAAAACATGTATTAAAAAGTCTGCATTTTTTCTTCTGTTGCATTTACTATGTTCTGAATTTGGAGTTTTGATTAAAGTGATGGCAGCTTATTTTTTAGTTTAATTAAATGTAATGAGACTTTCATGTTAGAAGCTGTTAATTGAAATAATTGAAAAACAGATGCTATTAGTTATTAATTTTTTATGCTATTAGTTATTTTTCTAACTTCATTTTTAAATGCACTTCTTTTTCTTTGATTATCGTCTTCTTTATCCGGATATGAATTCAGAACATATATAAAGGAAATATTTGAAAATTTTCTTCTCTTGCATTCATTATATTCTGAATTTTAGTGATGAAAAGTAGGCATGAGGAAGTTTAGTTTAGTTTTAAAAACAGACATATTGAAAGTGTAGTATTGAATAAAGAAGGAAGTGGGTGAAACAAAATCTGAAAAGATGATTTTGACAGTAAAACTGTTTTGTGATAATTCAATCTTAATCTGGTTGAATATGTTGGTTTTACCTTAACACATACAATAAATTAATATTTGAACAACCTCTGTCACTCTTTCAGATTATGTGTTTTGAACCTTTTAATCATCACTTATATCTTACTTTACACAAAATAACATCCATTACTCTTATTGTGCTTCTTAATGTCTAAAGTAGTTGTTATACTACTTGTACTTTTGTACAACCAATCTGTATATGATAATGTTATTTGCTCGGTAGTCGGTACTGCATTTATTTAAAATGATGTTTTCACGTCTTTTCGCAGAAGGAGCTGAAGAATAAAGTAAGTGAAGGGTTATTTAAGCCAGTTGAAGAGAATGATGTTCTTGCAGTTGCTCTTAAGAAAAAGCCCAATGGTAGCAGAGTACAGGGTGTAGGGCACTTCATAACCCCAACAACGTACTTCCACAGGCCAAGTGCTGCGATAACTCAGAAGGAAAAAGAAAAAAAAATATGCGATAAACGATACGAGATGATGTTAGAGAAGTTTGATGAAATGAAAACTTGTATGTCGAATGGTTTTAGTGAAATTGGCAGCTGTAGTATTGCCAATAAGTCTCAAAAGAGAAAGGTATGCACACACATTTAGTACATCCTTTCATATTCTATTTACATGTACAGTTTATGCTAATGTATATTTTACATTCCTAGGCTGGCGGAGAGGTGGATCAGCCCATGCTTACTCCTAGGAAATCTCCTAGACTGAAGTCAAAGCAGACTAAATTCATGAATGGTGAGAATGAACAACTTGAGGAAGAGAGTGAAGGAAACAAAAATGTATACAACTGTTCTTTATCTCCACCATGTATATTTCAGCTTTTGTTGATGGTCTATACTTAAAAAATAATTAAACTTGTGTAAATAGAGTACTGCGGTGATGAAGAAATCAAGGTATACTCCTCGGAAAAGGCTTTTTGAAACTGTTCCTAGAAGATCGCCTCAGCAGATAAAAATAGAGACTTCACCAGACATGTGTGACGAGGAGGTGACACATATAGTTATTAAAAAATCAATATATACAAGTGTTCTTACTTTCACATTTATTTGGATGTATTAAGTTAGATGGTTTTAATTTATTAAAATTCATAGTATTAGTCACCATTTTGATTACATGCTTCAATTTATATATACTACATTTTAAATAGGATATGGATGAAGATGAAGAGCAGCCTCTGCCAAGGGTTCAAAGTTTCCATAGAGAGGAGGGCACAAATGATAGAAAACTCCCTTCAAAGTTGCAAAGTTTTGAGGATGTAACATATCTAGTTTCTAAAACATCAATATTTATAAGTTTTCTTACTTGTACTAAGTTAGATGTTTTTAATTTATTTAAGAGTATTATTAATAACCAATTTGATTACATGTGTTAAATAGGATATGGATGAAGAGCAGCCTCTGCCATGGGCTCAAAGTTTTGAAAGATAGAATGCCAATAATGATAGAAAACCTCTTTCAAAGTTTGAAAGTTCCAAGGAGGTAACATACACATATAACTGACTGCTTTGAGCATGACAATACCTTAATTTTGAGTTTCACGTTTCCAACGATTGATAATGAATTGCATATTGAGTTTTAAAATTATATGGATGTAATTGTAGTTGGAGTTTGAGAACCTTATTAGTGTGATAGTGGTGTTTAAAGTCTTCATTATTTTGATATACGATGTAAGCCTTTGCATGTAATCTTTTGTGCGACTCCGTATGACTTATTGTGTGAGCATTGATAATATAATACGGAGTATATATATATATATATATATATATATATATAAATATATATATATATATATATATATATATATATAGCAGACCACAGATTCATAAAATAACATTATTAATTACAGTTTGAAGGACGGTAGATACTTCTAGTTTTTTTTGTCAAACAGAATAAGACACTGAGAATGACCTCGAATTGCGGTTTAACAGCTATAAAGTATTAAATAAACATCTAATCAGCCATTACCAATGAAAGTTATATACACGCAGACATTTACTCAAAATATTAATCACCAATTTAACTTATCTCTCTGTTAAATAGGACATGCATGAAGATGTTAAGCAACCTCTGAAGGTGATGATCACAACAAAGGTTGAGAAAGAAGTGATTGATGATAATCCCGAAGAGCTGGAGAGGTGTGATGTGTTGGTTGTCAAAGAGAAGAGGGCAAAAATGAAACCAAAAGCCACAGTAAATATGCAAAGAAGGACTAGGTCGGTTTCCGAGAAGAAAAGAGGTCAAAGTGCTAGCTTGCGGATGTTTTCTATTTTAGTTGAGAACTGTTTGGGTGATGTGGGCACAATCAGCCAAGGTCCAGAAATATTTGGGTTTGAAACTAAATCTGTGTTTAACAAGGATGTTTGCCGGTTGGTCATCAACTTTGAGGAGGTTACAAACTCTATAGTTGAGATTTGGGCAAGGTAATAAGTTCCTATTTGAATATTTGAAGTAGTAGTTTGTACTTTTTTTGCTAGATCAGTAGTAACTAAATACTTCATTCAAATACTAGGTACTTGCTCGAAGAAATGGTAAATGAAGGAGGGGAGCTACTTGTTCAGTTTGGTACTTCTGCTGCTGTATGCATACCAAAGAAGCCATCAGTGCAATCTGTTACAAGAAGGTCCCAGTATATAGCTGATCTTTTAGGCATTGCGTTGCTTGGACAGATCACATTAATCCCCTACAATACTGGGTAAATTATTGTCACACGTGCAAAATGTTCTCCTTTTCAACAGCATTTATCGTTTATTTTGTATGAGATATTTACAAACATGTGATATGTAGCAATCATTGGGTGTTGGTCGCAATTGACACGGCAATGCAAACGGTGTATTACCTGGATTCTATAGGAGGATCTCCATCAGAAGATTTGGAAAGAATAGTGAACCAGTTAAGTGAAATGTTAAGTTAAACGTTATATGTACTTGTTTGTGATAATGCATAGCCCATTTAAATTAAAGTTGTTTTTAATAATGGCATTATCTCTTTTGTGTTCAGAGGAGTGAGGATTCATCACGCCTCAACTTCTAAGAACAGGATGAATCTGAAATGGGTGCGTGTCATGGTATGTGCATTTAATTTAAAGCTTGGAAGTAAAAAAAAGCGGTACATTCATGCAATTTACACATATTATTTGTGTAAAAATTATCTAATTGTGCTAATGATATATAGGAATAAACATATTGTTCCCCTTTGAATTTTAACATGCTGGAGTTGAATTTTAACATGCTGGAATATTTGTTTCCCTAAATAAATACTCCTGCATTTCACATATGATATTCTGTATACGCTTAGCGGTTGTGTTGACAAATTGTTCTTTGCTGTCCATTTTCGTAATAAAGACTCATAGAATTATAACTCCAATCTAGCATTGTGAGTTTGGTCCCATTTGAAGTGAGTGATGGTCCCATTTGGATTAATGTGCAGTGCCCTAAGCAAGCAGGAGCAATGGAGTGGTTATTTTGTTATGAAGTATATGAAAGATATCGTATCGGACGTCAAACTGTTGAAGCAAAATGTGAGTCATTTTGGAATTTTTGTTTGATTACTTCGATCTGTATTCTCAAATAAATGCTAATATAACTTTTAATTTTTTATTGAAGTTCTCTAAAATAAAGGAGTACACTGATGGTGATATTTTGGGAATACGTGAGGAGTGGGCTTCATATGCATCTACTTTGATAAGAAGTAAGTTTATAGTTCAAAACTTAAGAATATAAGTTTGATATTATATGGATGTTAATTAGGCGTACTTATGAAGTTTTATACAATGTATGAAAATGGTATGAGCTGGAAACATGAGCTGTAAACATGTTAATTAGTACTACGAAGGTTTATCATGTATTTCAAGAGATCAGAGAGAATTTCATCCAGATGTCAAGCAGTTTTAGTGGAATGAGATTTCAAATAAAACTTATGTGTTTTATGGATCTGATCGATAACAGGATGTACCTATGATGCATAAGTAGTATTGCTATGTGTTTGTATGGGTGATTTTTATTGTTTGTATCATTAATAAGGTGTATCAATCATTTTTCAGTGTTGATAGATGCCGCTGCTATGAAGACATACTGAAGTGAAGGCGGTGTTTAATTCTGAATTGTTATTCGCGTTGTGTAATAGATTTTGCTATATTTATTTAGGGGGTGTAGGCGGCCGGCTCACTTTTTGGAAACTTTTTGGAACTAAACCGTGTAGTTGCCTAGAATTCTATTAACTCGGTTGTAAAATGATCACTTGGGTGTTGGATGTTGCTGGATTTTTTGTCATGTTTTGTCCAGGCTCCAGCAGAGTATTTTCTGATTTTGCATACCTAGAATGCAATCTTCAACTACAATGTAGCTTTAGGTTTGAAATGAATATTGTACTTTAAACGTTCAATCTATGATTTCAGATTTTCAGATTTATTGATTTTGTTATCGTTTATGGGTTTATTGAATATTGAATTGGAATTTCTAAAATATAATTGATTTGGAATTTTTAGAATTATATTGTTTGGAATACTGAAACAATACAAAACAAAGTGATACTAAAGTGTCACTAACTTATCATTTTTCTTGGATGGAAAACAGAATTATGTGATACCATGGTGTCATTAGCATGTGTGATGTAGAAGTGTCGCTGAATGGTTGTGTCGCATATGTATCACTAATTGGTGATACTACGGTGTCATAACTTAGTGACACTTTTAGTGACACTTTTTTAGTGTCACTAGCCCCCACCTTCAGCGACACTCTTTTAGTGTCACAGAAGCCTGTTAGTGACACTAATTTGGTGTCACTGTAAGGCATTTTTCTAGTAGTGAAGTAAACGGTTGAACCAGGTAAAGACTTATTCTACATCCAATTTATTAACTACTCCGTATTATTAACCAGGTAGTATAAGTTTTATTAAACTTGAAATTTTGTGTTATATATATATATATATTTCTTTTAATTTTCTTAAAGTTATTCGATTATAAAATTTAGTCTGAAATTGTTCTTCTCAAACAGTCTTTCTGTAAAATACCTAATAATTAGTGCTAAATTATTATTTTGTAGTGTCTATTATGACGGGAAAAAGAAAACAAGAGAGGTTAAGCGGGCTCTCTATGCTATCTATAGAAACAAAAAGTGTTATCTACTCTTGATTGTGGTGATGTATTTACAAATTTTGCACATCAAAAAGCAAGAAAAATAGGTTATTAGGTAGTACATTTATAATTTTATTTATTTCTTCGAAGAATTTATATATTCACATACTTTATATCAATTTTAAGTTAGTATTTCTTTTTACATTGAGTAAAAAATGATGTTATAATTTTCTAATTACTTCATATTTAATTAAGTATTAATTTGAAGTACTATTTGATCTCATTAGTCATTTTTTTAGGGCACCAAAATTCCTGGAGACGGCTCTGATCATGCCTACAACTTCTTCTACGCACGTGCATGCGTGACATGATCCACATGCACACGTACGGAGTACTCTTTTTTTTACCCCGGAAGTCAAACCACCAAAATCAGTGGGGCAGAAGCCGGGGGTCAACTGCCAGAATTTTATTAAATAAATAAAGGATTACAAACATAGAAGGGGGCCAAACCAAACTTCTCTAAGTAACAACCAAAGCCAACACAATAAAATAAAAGGCAAACAGCAGAATAAACAAAAAATAACTACTGGATCATTCGTAAAGATGGGAGCCCAAACAAATAAGAGAAGTAAGAATTCCGGGCCTGAGGCGGAAGATCAGTGACCCGTGAATAAACTTCATTGCGGCCCATGTAATTCACCGCCAAAAAATGGACCGCCCAGTTCGCCTCTTTTGAAACCACAAAATAGGCAACACCACTTCCTTCAGACAGATCCAACATACGAGCAACTTCATCGCTTCCTCTACCAAACCTGCGTCGTTTGAGATGCACCACCGCTTCCATGGAATCCACTTCAACGAGGAAGTCACAATAGCCCAGATTGATCACCCAACTGACTGCATGGATTAAGGAAGCTAGTTCAGCTTCGAACGCAGAAGCAGCCGAGACCAGGAAAGAGGAGGCAATAATCATATGGCCTGAGTTATCTCTCAAAATGGCACCCCCAGCAGCGCGACCAGGTAAATAGCTTGCATCTATGTTTAATTTAAGAGAACCAATATGTTTCTTCCAAGTGATTGCTTTTACTGTCATCCTGAGTAACCTGAAATCCTTAGGAATCAACTGTTCATCATATAAGATTTCACCCACCTTGACAAGTTTCTTAGATTTAATGGAGGTAACCCAAGTGTTGAGGGTAAATCCCGTAGATCCGAAAGCCCAACACGAACTTTGGATATATCAGGAATGGCCCAGAATCAAAGCGTATAAGAAAATATAAGATCTGAACTAACTAAAACTCGAAAGCTCACTTGTATTAATTAACCAATCTGATTACAAGGAAATTCCCGATCGGTATGTCGGAAATTATGCTTTAATACAAGAAGTAAGGGAAAATGATGCTATTCTAGAGCTTGAGTATTGAAATGCTAACCCTTACAATGACTTGAAACCTTCTATTTATACTAATGGAGAGCATGGGCTGCCTCTTGCTGATTGGCCGTTGTTCCACCGACTTGGTCATCCACGCTTCCACTTGCTGATGTCATAGTCTGGCATTAATTGCACCTGGCCACTTGCTGGTTGGCCGTTGCTCGAACGGGATGTTGGGCTGCACTGAAGATGCTGTCAAATTGGCCCAAGTATGATATATAGCCCGAACTCCGTTCGGTATGTCTTCTTACGAGGCCAATCTTTATTTGGACCGAACTCCGTTCGGTATGTCTTCTTACTGGATCTATTCATCATAGAATGATGGGCCTGTTGCTTGGGCCGGATATCTTGGGCCTTCCCGATCTGGGTATTGGGCCTCTAGGTCAATATCCCAACACAAGTCCCCCACTTCCGATGTCTCGAATGAAGTGAGTGCATTATGAAGTATATAAATGTTATAATACCCCGAATGTCGATCGGGGTACAGAAGTAATCAGTTCCCCATGCTGCGATTCGACGGCTGCCGCTTCATTTCCCCATATTCATCATGATAACCGTCGTTTAGTCTTTTCATTAGACACGTGTTTAGCTTAAATGCTCCTAGTGACGTGTCGCTCTCTGATTGGTTCTCGACACGGCGGTTTTCAAGGCTATAAATTAGCCTTTAACTTCTCAATTCCGGGTTTCGACTCTGCAATTCCTTGGCCTTCGTTGTTTCCTCTGCAATTTTCTCCCTGCTTCCTTTGCTCAGGTAATTTCCCAACTCCGGATTCCCTATCTTCATTTCTGGCTTCGATCGAGATGAGCCTCAAAGAGCATTCCTCTGATTCGGAGATGGCCTCTCATGGAGATGACCGTGACGCCGCCATCGTAGATGTCATCACAGTTCCATTTGCCGGTGTTTCTACTGAGACGGCGACGAATACCAGGGCTGAGGCGGAGGACCTCCCTAGCACTTCTTCTTCCTCCAGTGAGGATTCCGACGACACCAAATCCGAGGACGAAATAGCCTCCATGGCGGCCGGACGTCCCAACGATGTTCCTCGCCATACCATTGACCTAAAATTGATTAGGGAGAGGCGGCAAAAATTGACCTCTCACAATAGGGCCGAAATTCTGGCCCTTATCCCTGACCCGGTGGATTTCCGTTTGCAAGCTGGGCTTCACCCAATGCGTCATAGGCCCGGAATGACCATAGTCCACTTTGACTCAATTAGGGCCGGCCTTAGATTTCCGCTACACCCCTTTTTCATTTCTTTCTTCAATTTCTACGAAGTTGTACCGGCCCAGATTATGCCGAACTCCTATCGGGCAATGGCGGGTTTCATTTGTCGTTGCAAAGATGCCGGCGCCCGACCAACCCTAGAACTCTTGCATCAATTCTTCAAAGTAGCCCCCCAACAAACCCACGGTTATATGGCCACTAGTGCCCGAACGGGACACATCCTGTTCAAAGGAAACCCAACTTCAATCAAAGGGTGGAAAGACCGTTTTTTCTTCGTGTCTGTCCCGGACGGCCTAATTCCCCGTAAATGGAATGCCTTCCCCCGCAAGACTCCTG